CCCTGAAACCCCAAAGCTTGAAACCCCACAAGCCCTAAACACCCATGGAAGCCCTTAAGCCCGCCCTCAATATCAAAAAGGCACCAAACCCTAAAATCCGTTGCCCCGAACGGCAAACCCGAAGATCCTAAACCCTGAACACCTTGAAGACCCTCAACCCCAATACCCTCCACACTAAAATGCCTGATATCTCCTATACGACCCAGAAAGCCGAACGGTCCGGATCCCAAAGCCCTAAACCCCAAAACTAAATAAATAAACCCGAAACCATCAACCCTGAAACCCTAAAACCCCCAAAGCCCTAACATTCTAAACGGCCCAAAGTTCTTGAAAGCCCTAAACCCTAACTTCCGCCACCCTAAAAGACCCTCGACCTAAGGCCCCAAGCTCTGAAGGAGAAGGCCTGTAGCCCAAAAGCCTCAAAGCTGGAGACTAAAACCCCAAAGCCTGACACACCCAAAGCCAAAAAAGACAAGCACGAAACGCCCCAGAAACCCTAAAGACCCCAACCCCACAAAGCACCTATAACTCCCTGAAAGTTTCCTGACAGCAGCCTTGATACCCAGAAACCTCCGTCGGAGAGCCCGGAAACAGGCCTCGACGCTTCGCTCCACGGGAAGTGGCACTGGCACCTTGATAGTCAGACGAGGGTGTTAGGGATTTAGGGTTTTGGAAGTTACCAGTAGGGCGTAGGATTTAAGTTGCTTTGCTTTGACTGGTTTAGGTTTTAGGGCTTCGGTTTTAGATTTTAGGTATCTTTGAAGGCCTTGCTCTTCAAGTCCCCTGGGCCCTGGGGCGGGCTTAATGAGTTTAGGAAATGTTCTAGGGATTCATGGCTTTTCGGTGGCTTAAAGCAAGAAGAGGGTTGTTGCTTTATTCTTGGAGCTTAGGATTGTATGGCTCCCGTAACTACCTTCGATCAGAGCGTTGATACGAAGCGCTGAAGAAGAGGAGGAGAAAAAGGAAAGAGTAAGTAGGCCTTTGAAGCCAAACACTTGGCATGTTCTGAGCCATTCAATGCCGGTAGCCTGGGTGCCAGGCATGGCGATGTCTTTGTACAGGAAGCTGCGGCCAAGAGCGAGCAGGGTTTAAAGGGCTTTAGAACTTTAAAACGCCTATACGCCCAGTTTGGGCTGTTGCACTTAGGGCTGGGGAAGTGCGACCTACAAGATCAGGCCAGGTCCAAAGCAGCCCAACCCGGAACCTCAACTCACGCTCACTGGCCGTAACTGTAGGCTTTAGACCCCAGCTTCTATGGGGGAAGCTTCCTGGCCGAAGGGCTCAAATCTTCAGCTATCCCCTCGGACATCTGGGGGGTCTCATTGCAAGAACGTCACACCCGACTTTGATCTGGAATTTATGGTTAAACTTCGTGCCGGTGACAAACACGCAACTTTGGGCAGCTACAAGAAAAAGCTTCCCGCCTATCACCCGTGAAGACATGCTTGACATGGGCAGCACATTACTGCTTCAACCAACAATCACCGAGAACCCTGAACTCTAAATGAGACACTCCAACAAGATTTCAGGTTTCAACAGGCCCCAGGGGTACAAGACCATCCGGAGCCCTTGTAGCCCTGCATGAAGAACCCCAAGCCCAAGCGCTAAAGCGTGAACACTCCTCCACAGGCTCGTCCACATATTCGATCTGCGGCACTTCCACGGTCCTTCTTAAACGCAGAGTGAAGCGTTGGGCTTAGGGCTTTTGGCTGGGGCTTCGCATGGGCTATGACATCTCGTGTATTGGCGGGCTTGGAGGTTTCAGGCCTCGTTTTGTGGTCTGGCCAGGGCGAGCAGGCTCTGAATGCGGAAGACACAAACGCCGGGAGTTTCGCCTTGGTTGAATCCACCTGCTTAGCCAGGAAAGCTTCGGGCAGGTGTTGTCAAAGTAAGGCATGGGACAACAGCACTGAGTCATTGGATATCAAGCGAAATAGGCTCCAAGGCAAGGAAAGCCTGACAATCAGTAGCCTGAAAAGATCACACCCCGACCTGGGCAAAAAAACAAGTGATGACCCAAGGTGATACGTGATAAGACTACAACTCTCTCGTGGGATACCTTTTGCAGACGTGTCATTTCATGCGCAACATCCCGCATCTACTCGGGCGAGCAAGGTTGCAGCAATCTGCAATCCGAAGTGTAGGGACCAGCTTGACGATCTCTCCTTGACTCCTAGGCTGAGGAGCACCTTCGTGCAGTCTGGGTTGAGGTAGAACCCGAGAGTGTCTGGTCGATCTCCTCCGCGGCCTGTCTACCGGCGATCTTGGTTGCCTCGTTGTTGAGACGGACCATCTTCCAGTCTTCCGTCTTTGCGGCCACCATCCGCTGACTCAAGGAGGCATCAACGGCATCGATGATTGCCCCCGCCTGTATCTCGGCTGTACACAGGGCAGTCCCGAGTTGCAGGGCGCGGAGAGGAACCGCGCCTCCTTTCTGAAAGAGTCATTGACTTGGGAGGAAAGGGTCCTCCTTGTGAGATGTGACCTTGTAGCCGGACACCTCCTTTGTCGCTTCATCGCAAAGAGATATGAACTATAGAAATGCCTGAACGTGATTCCAGGGAGGGATGGGTCAGCGAACCATGGGCAAGATTCCACAGGAGTGTGCTGCAAGCCAGAAGACTTCCGCAACGATGGACGCACGAAGCGGAGGTTCGACTCTTCCCAGAGGAGTGATGAGAACTCTGCCAATCTCTGCCAGACCTGTCGTGCCCGTGCGAAGAGCATGTTACCATCAGCTCTTACCTTGCTGTCAACTGTGTCATGCAGCCACAATTCACAACCATGGTGGTGTGGTCACGCCATCGACCAGATAATGCCGGCGGCATGCTGCTCGTCACTTTGGAAGGTTGACCAGAGGCCTTCTGCTTTCCGAATGGACTGTTCAGGTATGGTCCTTCCGTCCGAATGCACGAGCAGACCTCGGCAGCCAGCTCCTGCCTCGTCGCTGAAAGCCAAAACAAGACCGGTGCAAAAGGGACTCGTGAGAAGGACGAAGAAAGCTGGCAATTCGCCTCTACGACTCTTCTGCGCAGGCAGCCTGCCGGAAGACGAAGGTCGCGAACACGCAGTCATTGACAAAATCGACAAGCGGAGCAAGATTGGCAGTAAGCCCTTCATGATCCACGTTACCGGGTCTGCGAGGTCGATCTTGTGTCACAAGCATGAAGCCTGGACCGCCCCAAAATCTATCTTATTCTTGCTTGTGCTGACCTCCTGGTCGAACCAGGACAACCTCATGCTTGGGAGTGGGCCTGGACTGGGAGGTCATCTGGACATCCAGATCACCTCCCAGTCGAGGCCCGCTTCCCGAACCATCAGATTGCCGATTTGTCGTCGACAGCTCAGGGCTTAGATGCTATGATGTCTGAAGCCAAAAACCAAAGCTCGCCACGTGTAGCACGTTGATTCCCAAGCCCTCTGCTCCAACCCCATCCGGCCTTGAACTCTGATACACACCAGCCCGAACCCACAACCCCAAACTTGCGATGATTGAAACTCTAAGCCCCAGGCTTTGTTTTCGCTTCTGTCAGTTCAACTCTACGTCAAACGAATATGTGTTAACATATAACGGGCATAAACATACCTTACGGTTCAGGGCCAGGCCCTCAGTGTTTCACAGAAGAAGATCATGAGACTTACAGCTGCAGTCCCTGAACCTTATGCAAGCCTGAAAGGAAACCAGAAATCAGAACCCCCGCTTTTAACCGACAAGATCCAGGCCCGGCCTCTCAACTTTTTGCATGAGCGGCACATAGTTCTCCTTCTGGACCGGAACTTCGACCTGGGCGCCATTTGGCATGGAAAGACAGACCTGCACAAAGACGTGCCACATATACAATATCTCCTCAAGTCCAAGATCCGAAACCCACAGACCTACATAAATGAGTTCTCAACGATGAAAGAGTTCCACCCCAACTCACATCTCAAACCCAAGATCCCGACTAATCCGCTAGATAGCGATCCCAATTTTAGGCTTCTATGCTCGAGAAGAGGCCACAAAAGCTGGTGCAAAAAAAGAAACCAGAGTCAATAGAGCTCGGGCAGCGTGGATGCAGGCAAACATGTACTGCCATGAAGCTTCCAACTGCGTTACACTGGCCCACAAACGGATACACCCTTAGCGTATCGAGTACCTTGACCGACCTCATTGCGCGTCCGAATTCCACTTAACTTGCCCCTCATTAGCGGATACTTTCAAGATTACGCGTCATCTTGCCCCGCGAGTACCAAGTTTACCCAGATTACCTAGATGACCAAGTTCTCGATTCCCAGCACAATGAGTACTACTACTACTACTACTACGACGACGACGACGACGACTACGACGACGACGACTAAAATCACCACCCCGACCACCATCACCACCACGACCACCACCGCCACCACCATCACCGCCACCACCATCACCATCACCACCTCCATCGCCACACCACCACCACCACCACACCCACCACACCCACCACACCCACCACCACCACCACTACCAGCCCTGGGCCGAAAGTTGAGTCCCAATGGGCTCCACATCGCAACTCGTTTTGCCTTGCTGATCTCATCCATCTCGGAATGAAAGATAGGCATCTGGAACAGGGCTTCAGGTTCGGGTACAAGCTTGAGGCATGCCTGTATACCGGAGTTTCCGAGATCAGGGCTCTCGCAAAACCCTTGCTCTCCTTTGCCGTTCGCGTTCCCCAAATCTTCGGAAACTCCTGGATGGCCCAGGATCTCATGGCCACTGCACAGCGGAGTTGTAAAGACGCAGCAGAGCCGTTCCAGCAATACGTGGTCTTCATCTGACGGGCCTACGCAGCCACCAGCGTCGTCATGACCAGCATCAGAACCATGATCAGTATCATGACCCTCTTGCTCACAGCGCCCTAGGTCCTAGGTGAAACCAGACTTACCACTACCATGTTCCTTTCTGAGCGATGTGACACTCAGATTCCGAGACCCCGCGTCATGCTGAAAGAAGCTCACAGGTTTGCAATGGAAGCTTTGCACCACTGCCCTCTGTACAGACCTGGCCCTGCGTTCCGAAAGGTCCATTTGGCCACACGTGACCCTGAGCATGGAAGCGCCTCGCACTGCAGAAGCCTGGGCCTGGACTCTGCACTCAGCCGACACTATATCCCCAGTCCTGAACCTGAGACTCTGAGACCCTGTGAGTTCCCTGAGCCCGCAGTCGCTTCTGAAAGATATCCTTCGGCAGTGAAATACCACGCTGCGGAAACTGATCTGCTTTAGAGCGGGAACGGGGGTCTGGGTACCGAGGGGTCGTGCATTGAGATTGTCATATTGAACTCTCTCTTTGAACCATCTACCCAAACCCAATGCCCAAGGACATCCTCCATGCTCCATGGAAGGATGCTGGCATGCAGCAATCAACTGATGGAAAATGGCACGGCCGTATCGTCGGAGTCGGGGCTTCTCCGGTTCCTGGGGCTTGCGATCATGTCAAGAACCGGGGAATCGGAATCGGAGGGTCTTCCGGTTTCCGAGCTTTCCCCGCTCCCCAGACCCAAACTCGGTGCTTCTCAGCAAACCTCGTGAACTGGGAGGAAAACTGGAAGTAGCACCAGAAAGAAGCGGATGTTGCTGGAACGCAAATACCCCAGCCGCTACCAGAACAGATCTCGCAAGTCCCGAACCCCCCGCGCCCCCCAGTCCTTAGGCCCCTATAGACTAAGCCTATCTAAGCCTTCCCTCTGGAACCCACTTTGCATGAGAGTCAGGGTTCGGTTCATCTTGTCCGGCTTGGCAGCAGCTTGCCCGGGTTCAGGATCTCGTGCTCGTCCAGGCATCTAAGGAGAAAATATGGAGAGAGGGAGGCATAGCACAAGGCTCATTCAGGCTTAGGGGCCTAGGACTCTGCGGCCGACAACCTCCTATCTGTGTCACAGTCTGTGCGCGAGTGCACTGGAGCCCTGGTTGACAATGCTTTGAAAGTAGGAACGCTGTGCAAAAGAAGCCCTGCTCCGTCTGCTGTAATGAGAGCGCCAACAATGCACCGGCATTTCTAGACTCCCATGCCTGTGGGCACATGTCTTCAGCTAGCGCGGTTCCTCTTGGTTTCAGTTCTCTTTGCGAGCCAAGCTGCTTCTTCAGCCTCCACATCACACCAATCGCGTCGGTGCCCCACTCCTCTGAGAGTGCTGAAACTTTGCCCATGCCTGAGCTGCACTCGTGTAGGGCCCAGGAAGCCAGTCCATTCGGTCTTTGAAGTCATCTGTGGAAGTCTTTCTGGTACTGTAGCCGCCTCAAGCAGTTTTGTTTCATTGCCTGAACTTCAACCTTCAACAGCATTTCACCAGCCTACTGCAGGCATCCCATTCTACGAGAAAGCCAGAATACTGATGAGCCGTCAAGAGGACCCTGCTCTTCGAGGACGGCCCCGTGAGCAGAACAGGACTCCACAAATACTGTCCGGCACTGCAAGTCAAGCCTCTTGCCTGGGACAGGCTGTGTCAGCCGGGATCGGCATCAAAGGATTTTGGGCCCGTGACCTGCGCCATGCTCGCCGCTGACGACACCACCGTGCGCAAGGGCCCGCGCCCACATCCGCCTGTTTGAGAAAGATACACCGCACAATAGCACAGTGCATGTTTAACCCAGCCAGGCATGCCGCGGGGTTTCAGGCATGCTTTGCAGTCGAGCAGATCAAATTGTGTGTAATAGCGGAGCTACTGAAAATTATTCTGTTAAGAGAAGGTGGGCTACAATGACAAGAAGACAATCAACACTGAAGCCTAAGAGCTGCCAGGAGGACGGGGGCCCTCTGCATGGCGAGGTTATGTGTGGCTCATCGACTCACGGCTTCAGGAGGAATTCGCCCGACTAGTGCCTGATGCCCCTTTCCCAACCCTACGACTAGAAACTTCTCAAACCCAAATGCGTCGAGACTTGAACACACATGATTGAAGCCCAGGAAGGCTCAGATCCGGCCGGCCTGTCCAACTGATGCAGGACCTCCACCTCCTGCCGGCATGCTGGGACCACCCTTGATCGTGCCAAATGTTTCTGCTGCAAGAGATGTTTAGGAGCTCGTCTTGACTGACGTAGTTACAGTAGTGCTCTTCGCTTCTGCTGCACAGCCGTCATGATTCTTTGCGGGCATTGGGGCTCGGCTTCAATCAGGCTCAGGTCACCAAAACAACGGCTGGCAGGCTCAAGGCCTGCGGGATCCGAGGCAGTTGAAGCTTTGGGCTTTGCGGGTCAGGGTTAGGCTTTCGCTGTTGCAGGCGTGAGGGTCTCAGAAGTCTTTCTGATAAGCTCGGTGGGGTGTTTTGGGCTCAGGTCGCAGTCTGCAAGTTGAACTGCCATCACATCTGCGCATCGCCACATATCCCTAAGGACTCAATCAAGAGCCACAAGACAATGTACGGAATAAAGAGTGACAAGACAATGTGTGGGAAAGCCCAGCATTGCCCAACATGCTCTCAATCGCACGCCCACAGCCCGGAGTCGCGATCCGAAGCTCGACCTCCGCAACCCTTATGTGACATCACCCTCCAGTCCTGAGATGCTCAAGAAAAGGCGAAGCCACTCCGCTTCTTGACACAACATGATAAGCACTCCAAGGTGTCCTTGGCGTTCCCGTGGTCAAACATGACACAACAGTGGAAGTTGCCATCCGCAGCGTGGCCAAATATGTTGCACAGGAACCTGATGCCCGTCTCCTGAGCAGGTGGGACGTGACGTGTCTGATGACCACGAAGTTCGGGATACAAAGTGCTTCGGGGGTCCACAAGTCTTTGACCAAATTCTGTCCGATTTCCCAAACAAAGGTTCGGCACAGCTTCTTGTATGGGTTCCAATGCCATAGTCCAAGAGGCATTCATCAACTAATCATCGGAATTGCGTGCAGTGCGGTTGGCAGTGAAACACTTCATGAGATTGTAAATGGCTTGAGGCTTGTTCAGGCAGTTCAATCAAACGCCGGAAGACCGAATATCAGCAGATGAAATCTCAAAGGACGCTAGAGCCACAGAAGAGCTACCAACAGCCGCTCCAAAAGCAACTCAAATATCACGTGCTTCGGGCCAAACCAGTCAAAGACCCTCCCTCGATGAGAAAACCCTAACCTCCTCTAAAAGCCCAATGCCCCAAACTCGATATGCCACTCCCCGACAGCTCCTCGGCCGTGGCTTTGTAGTCTTCCTCCGTCTCCTCGATCAGCGCCGGGAAGTCGCTCAACGGCACGCAAACGTCTGTGCTAAGCCTGGGCTTGCTTTCTGTCATTTATGGCATCGACCCATACGGGCCTGTAAGCATGAGTCTTGGTTGTAGTGCTAGTAAGAGTACAGGTTGCCGCGATATCGCAGTGTCGCCCTCGTGGTCATGCCGGTGACTCCTTGTACCAAATGCATTGATTTCACATCCACCACTGTTCCCGAGGTTCTCCTTCTCCGTTTGTGGTGTGTGTTGTCCTTCGGCTGTTTGCCATCAGTTTATTGTCCCGACTCTTCCCTGTGCAATATTGCCTGGTTGAGACTTCTGTGACTGGTAATTCCTTGTGTGCAATTAGATGAAACCGTGTGCATGTTGGTTGCATGTGCTTCTAATTCCAGATTGTGTTGGGTCTGCACCATCTCTCGGGACCACAGTGATGCTTCAGCTTCGTGTCGAAGTGACGCGGCCAGCCAGGACCACCAAATTCTTCATTAGTCTCTATGTAGATGTCGGCTCAGTAATCGGACTTCCGACCTTTATGGCCATTCCGACCATCCATGCTGTTACTTGCGCCGCACTCACTTGCTTACTTACAGGCACAGCTGCCATGATGACCACCGGCATGTTGACAACGGCTACAACTCTTTAGCACATGTCGTGGCATAATTGTCGCTGAATTCCTCACAATAAATTGTAGTCGAAAACACAAGCCTTGTGCCCATCCCCCCTTCTCGTCCTCATCATCTTCATCCTTGCATCCATGGTCTGCCCACCCCGTCAACAAGACTCTACCAACTTCATCATCATTATCGTCATCATCATCATCATCATCAGCATCATCATCGTCATCAGCAGCAGCAACATCATCTTCTTCTTCATCGTTGTCGCCATCGCACGCATCATCGTCATCGGCTTTACCGTCTTCCTCATCCAAGTTGTCATCCGAATCCGATCCTCATCATCCCATGACCCGGTGGGGTGATTGGAAAGTCAGCTTTTGAATGTCACCCTGGGAGTTAGTCTGTGATTGTATTCGTGGGCTGAGTCTGGAATTTGGGCCGCGTGATACTATAGTACCGCGTGATTTCGCATCGCATGTATGCATTCTGCAGCATCTTTGGATGGAAAAGACGGCGCTGCTTTATTTCGAGAAGCATCCGCACGTCTGTCGCGCCCCTGGCCACCAGGTGCTTTCGATTTGACTGGCAAGCGTAGTAGGCACCTCGCCTCCCAGGACTTGGACTTCGCAATGTTGTTTGCGCTACAATTCAATATGTTACTATGTTATGTTATATTGTACAATACGATATGATATTACATCTTTAAGTATTTAAGTAGGCATTAGCATCATCAGGAGAATGTGGGAAAGATGCTGATGATTGTGACTGGAGCTAGGATAAGATGTGCACAAGACATGTGATCATCATGGGCAAGACTATTGTCATGACGATGGTGATGACTGTTTCGACAAAAACAAGGGGCATGAAAAGCAAGAGCGATAATGATCATCATCATCATGATCATGGTCTTGATCATGATGATCGCTGCCCTGTTGAGGTGCACGAGGTACCTAACGTTGTTAAGCTGTCAGTATGGAAGCCCTGGTTGAGATGCAAGAGGAACCTGATGTTTCGGCGGACTACACCCCAAACCCCTAAGCTTGAACCCTTGGATGCACTGAAAGGCGCAACCCGAAAAGGCGGAGGGGGAGACACTTAAAACGACTCTACTCTCGGCTTAAGCGTCGAGTAACCTACCTGCGAAGTAGACCCTTAGAAAACACCACCTTCATCATGGCTTCGTGTGTACAAGTCGTATGAGTAGTTCAATTCAAGTCGCCGGGAACCTTTGCCCCATGTTCTAGGTTCCAGGATTCGGAAAGCGCAATGTAGAGGCTCACTGCAATCCGACCCACGCGAGAACGCGAGAACGGTGGCCCACCGTCTGATTGGAAGCGGATTTACGAAATTGAACCAGACTTCTTCATGCATCCCGTTGAGCATTCCCCCCCACCCTTCCATCACCAACCGACAGTAAGTAGGTGAAACTCTCGGTCCTGAGATCCCACAGCTGTTGCTGCTCCTCCTTTGCGATCGCAAGGACGAAAGATCGGCCACCTTTCAGCACGACGACCGGCGTGAGGTTTCGGATTCACTGAGAGTACACTGATGACAAGAGGACGACTGAAGGACAAACATAAGAGAGGCCGAACGACCACGATGCTACCGAGCAGGGGTCCAGGTTTAGGGCAGGCTGGTTGCTAGAACTGAAAACACTTAGCGTACACAAAGCATGGAGCGACTTGTCCGCAAACACCGAGCCGGGCACTAAGCAATGCACGAAGCCCTAAAGCCCTAAAGCATCGAATCTAGAGCCCGTGCAAAAGGCCAACCAAGATCCGGGCACACTTAAAGCTCTGGACTTCAACAGTTGCATCCTCTTTGCTAAAGCCATGCCTATGTGGTCACTGAATGAAGATGTTTGTTCCTTGGACTGGGCCAGTTGGCTCCTGATCTCCTGAATGCCATGTGCACTTGCTCATGCCTTTCCGCTTACTCACGTAGCTATATAGCGTAGTAACGGTCTCGGCCAGGATGTTGCTTAGTTCTTGTCTGCATGCTTTTCAAACTCTCATGCTTTATCAATGCATCCCTGCATTTCTTCTCTGTCAGCAAGTCAGAATGTCCCAGCAAAAGAACCAGAAAGCCAAACACCGAAGCAGAACAGACCGGAACAGAGGAGCACCTTCGGTTTCTGCGATGGCCTTGGCAGAGTCGAGCTCCTCGCACGCTTCAGCAAGCAGATCGAGGTGCCAAGGCTGTGAGAAGGGGGTGGAGAAGGAGCTGTGGCGGTAGCATTGCAGTAGCCTGGGCAATTTTGGGCTTTGTCGCCGTCGCAAGAGTCGTTGTACTCGTCGTTGTGGGTGGTGGGGAGGAGGTGGCAAATGATCCAGCAAAGGACATGTAGGCAGCCCAACGATGCACACAGGCCCCGTGTTGGCCTGCGCAGCCAGAGCTGCCGAGGTGGCGTGGACCTGGAGGAAGAGCGTGGGCACCTCACTTCGCAACTCAGGGCCAGAGATTCAGGCCGTGAGAGCACAGGCCCAGCACCTAGAGCCAGAGCCTTCAAGCAGAAGCATGAACTGTCTGTTTCGAAAGCCCGAATGTTCGCATTGGCATTCTGCAGCATTTCGTTGGAGCCATCCTCGCCCTCCTCCTCCTCCACCTGCTCCTCGCTGCAGGCTTTAGCCCTCACTTTCCTTAGTGTCCTCACTGGTGCCGTTATGGCTGAGCACGGTAACTCTACTTCAGCCACGTATTGTGGTGAGTCTTGATCCATCGGCTCCCAGCCCAAAATCACCCAAAAGTCGGCCAATACGACTAGCAGGCAGGAAGACAAATCGACCCACCGCCAAAAATCACGCTAAGCCTTACCCCCAGAATCTCAGCCTGCACTCTCTGCAGTGCAGGAGCTGGCTCCAACTGTATCGGGTTGGCGCGATTCTTCTGGCTGTCCTTATACGATTATGTGATCAGGAAGGGCCTTATGTTTCCGGTCTTTCGGGGTTAAGAGTGCTCAGGCACGGGCGTCGGGCGCTTAGTTTAGCAGTTTGGCCGCTCTTGGGGCTTGAGGTCTCGGGCAGCGTTTAAGGGCGACTGCGCGAGGCCTCCCCGTTTCCGGAGGCTGAAACTGGAAGACTCTGCAAAAGACGCAAATCTCCAACCAATGAAGCTGTGCTTCTTATCGTTGTAAGGCTTGGTTGTGGGCTTTTAGGCTTCGGCTGGAATTTTGAACTTCGGATTCGAAGGCCTTGAGGTGCAGGCTCTCCGAGCACACGCGCATGCCTCATTGTAGGAGTATCGCGAATCTTTGGCGAATGATTTGCCGGCCGGGACACATTCAACGAGAGTATGCTCTGTGTATTGAGCAGCTCTACGCGGGAGAGGCTCAGCTGCGCCTGCGGTTTTTCTGCGGCTCCGCTACCGCTTGATTGACCGCTCTCGATCACTATTGCGCGAGACTCACAAAGAATAAAAAAGCCTCAACTGTGGCTTCAGATCGTTTGCCACTCTTCAAAGCCGAGCTGGAGAGACTGCTTGCGACAAGATGTCCAAAATCACGTGAACACACCGAAGCGGTGTCATTGCAGGAACCACTGCTGCATTCGCACTCACTACTAATACAAGTTTTTCCCATAGCGGTCGTCGAAATTGACTGTGAAGACGGGAGCCTGTTTCAGCTTCACCACAGCCCGCGAGCACGCCTGCGAGAGTCAGCTGAGTTTAGGGTTTCGGGCCTTTCGGGCCATGACGGTATCCGGCTTTGGGTCTGTCTTCAGGCCGAGCCCTTCACAAGGCCTATCCCTTGGAATTTGCACCTTCAAGCTCAAGACAAACTTCGGTAGCAGCCTGCAGCGAATCGAAGCTGACGCGCAGGCTGCTTTCGCCGCTGGGCTGGGGAGTGACTTTCCTCACAAGCGAGAGAAAATCTGGAGCAAGGGTCGAAGGTTTAAAGACCGATTTGAGGGTGTAGGATAAAAAGATAAGCATCACGGGAATTGATAACTTTCCAGCTTGTCGTCGCTCAGACTGGTTTCGAGCTTGTTTGAAGTGCCTGGCAGACACCCGATATCGTCGGAGCAGTGCGCATGTTCAGACCAGCTTTTCCGCGCAGAAACATACACAACTCTCTGGCTCTACTACTGTAGTTCTTTTCCTCTGCAAAAAGCGAAGGACATAGGAGCACCACCATGGCTTTTGATGAAAACCCACGAGGACACTAAGGCTTTCGCGAGCAACAGCTAAAACATCGCGGAGGTGGCTTTGACCGCTGCAGCAAAGCAATGTGGTGTGATGTACTACGATATACGACGATGTTCCCTCTAAACAGAAACACTCCGGCGTCACTGTCGGCTTGAAGCCGGCAAAACACGTTAGTTGATCATGCAGGCTCTTGCGGGATGCTCACAAGATACAAAGCACTGCGGCTGATGCTCATGATGCTCGGGTAGTGGTGTATAAAGCTCGCATGCACTGGGCGGCTGATGCTGCTGATGCTCGCGAGAGCTGTTTGGTGATGCTGGGGTAAGCCCACAGCCAGTTGAATGTCAACATCCTTCGGAGGTGGACGCTGATGATGCTCGTGCGCGCTGGGCGGCTGATGCTGGTGATGCTCGCGCTCGATTGCATGAAGCGAAATGTCAAACTGCGGCTGATGCTGATGATCCTGAACACTTTTGCGGCTGATGCTTGTGATGCTCACACGCTCCCGTTTGACTTGAACATCAACAATATTCGGCGGCTATTTTTGAAGAGTCGCGTGTCATCCAAGCGACCTTCGCGATTTATTGACGCAAGTACTGGGATCTTTGGGATTAAACGCACCTCCAGTGAGCATCATCAGCATCAGCCACCCAAGGCTTTCACTTTTGTCGCAATGGACGTGAGCATCATCAGCCGCCCGAGGCACCACACGCAACACACGTGAGCATCATCTGCATCAGGCGCCCAGGGCTGTTTCATGTAACGCCACGCGCGTGAGCATCATCAGCATCACCCCACCCAAAGCTTTTGCATTCAAGACAACCTGCAGGAGCATCATTAGCATGAGTCGCTCGAGGTCTTTCCATTCAACACCACACACATGAGCATCATCAGCATCAGCCGCCCAGGGCCTTCAAATTCAACACAATGCGCCTGAGCATCATCAGCATTAGGTGCCCAAGGCTGCTGCATTTAACGCCATGCGCTCAAGCATCATGAGCATCAGGCGCCCAGAGCCTTCACTTTCAAGAGAACGCCGGTGAGCATCATTAGCATCAGCCGCTCGAGACCTTCCTATTCAACGCCATGTAAAAAGGCATCATCAGCATCAGGCGCCCACAGCTGTTTCATTCAGCACACGTCAGCATCATCAGCATCATCCATTGAGGGCTGTTCATTCAACACAACGTGCCAACACTGCACACGTGAGCATCGTCAGCATCAGCCGCCCAAGGCTTTCATGATGCAAAGCACGTCAGCATCATTAGCATCAACCGGCCAAGGCACGCGAACATGTCAGAAGCTTTGGGTGGGTGATGCTCGAAGCCCTCTCGCGAGGTGGCCAAATTTTCAGTAGGCTTCCAGGCTTCAAGCTCTACTAGTGATACCTCTCTGAACCAATCAATGCAAAACCTCCAAGTGCGACACAAGCATCACAACGAGCTCGGCAATGACCTCAGAGTGATCTGGTTCCGCAAGCCTCAATACCTCACTCCTACACTTGAGTATACTGTGGTGTAGATGACATGCAGCTGTGCCCGTAACTCCACTTCCCCACACACGACTGTGCAACAATCTTGCGTCTCCAGAGAGGCGAATCTCAGCCAAGGCACTGCGAGAGTGCCTTCCTGCAAAGCTCGACGGCATGGGCTTTCGCTCTTCCATGGAACCAATGCTCGGGTGTGCTGGCTTCTAGTCGGCTTTCTCGTGTAAGGCCCTGGGAAATGCTTGAGGCTCCGCAGAGAAATGGAGGTGTGGTTCGACTTCGAAGCAAAACAAGTGGGGCAACAGGCAACAACACCAAGCAGGTGGAAAGAAACATGCTTGCTCATGCTTGGGACACCTGCAAGCTGTTGGGCGACGATAAGAGTCAGAGAACGGATCCTGAAGCAATATGAAACAGTCAGCTCGCATCCTGACAGCATGAGAAGGCAAATTCGGCAAAGCTCCAACTCTGGAACCAGGAACACAGCACAATTCCTTAAGCAGACACTTTCACTGACAAAGACTCAAGGAGGGCCTGGCCCATGCAGAGGTGCGTCAGGTCGTAGCCAGTGGAGTTCTTGCGGGTCCGCCGCCTTGTCGTGACCACCGTGCCATCGGCCAAAACGACTGTCAGTGAGATCACGTTCCTGACATCATGCGCAAACCAGTTCAGGCTTGTGGGAACTCTTGTGGCTGTGGGCTTAATCCTAAACTGAGCCGATGAAGCTGACCGCCATCTAAACGAGTTACCCGAAGAGTGACCCTAGCCGAAGCTTGGAGGAAGAAGAATGGGAGGGCGAGTGGGTTCCCGATGGTTCGAGTTTTGCTACTCGGATATCGGAATTGGTTCCAGAAAAGGGACGGTCTTTGGTGGCTGGATGCCCCAGGCTTTGCGACCCACAGCTCTTGATAAACCTATCCTCGGCAGCATTCCCGCGGCTTCTCCTCTCAGCCCCTAGAAACCCTCTGAGTCCAAGCGTCTCTTTCATGGTGCCGTACTTGCAGCACAGGGTGCCGGAAGATCCTTAGAAGATCCGGGTTTTTTTTCCAAAAAACAGGGCGCCCACGCCTCATGCACCTCAGGAGCAAAATGAACCAAAGGGGCCCCCAACTCCGACGGATCTTTGCCAAGGCCGGTGTGCAGGCAAGCCACCCGTGGCGGCCATGCCTCCCAGGGAGGGGTTCGAGGCCGGATCCACCTGGGAGAGCACACAGCAAGGTCCGTCCTAGAGTTACTAAACGAGAAATGACAGGGCCTTATAGGGCCTAAACGGGGCGGGGTTAGACGAAAAGCAGCAAATTTGGCAAAGGCTTTAGAGAAATGGGGCTTTGTGGCTCGAGGGCTCGTTGACCGCTGCTGAAGCCAATCTCCCAGCTAAACTCCTCCCCACGTCGTGAACGGTGCCTGGAAGAAGAGACCTTCGCTTTCCAGGTAGTCGTTCAGCGCCTCTGCCCCGGCAGAGGTAGGCTGTTTCGGGAAAAGTAAGGCATTTCGAGCCTGGGATTCAATTTTTTAGCCTGGGGGGACCTATAAGGCAAGCGGTAATTGCTTAGGACGTACGGATCTTTCGGCCAGCCCGCCTCCTTCTTGATCCCCGCCTGCACATGAACTTGAAGCTCGTCCTGGCACGGTGCTTGCATGCCCTGGCGACTCTCGTCAATGTAAAGCTAACTTATGGAGCTGCATGGCATCCGATGCGGTCACCTTCGCCTGAGAATTCTCCAAGCCCACAAACCCAATTCCAAACCGAAGCGTCCATGCTCCTTTGCTGCACCCTCCGACCGGACTCCGACCTGCAAATTATTCAGCCTCGTAGTTCGTATTTTGTATCAGTAAGTCGCTGAGGCACACCGGTTGTAACTAGCTTGAACATCTGCACCTTGTACAGCTTCAGGACTTGATTCATCTTGGACCTTCGGCACAGGTTTTACGGCTTAGGCAGTCGTACAAGGACCTGCAAACAGGGTCCATGCACAAAGTCTGGTCCGTAGGAATGTGGCACATGCATTCCACCTGCAATGTTGCTCTTTGCTTGCGCAACATTCCACCGCGGAACATGAATGTTCTTGCTCTGTGCTTGCTCGGCCTGGCCTCGAACAGTAGTACACCAATCTTACCTACCATTTGTTTGCCGGGCTCCGACACTGCTGCAGGTGCTGTTGAAATCCGGTCCATGCAAAATCGACGGCCGTCCTCCTGAAACATGGGAAGCGGCAAACGCTCGAGCCTAGAATCTAGAGTAGGGGTTCTGTCAGTTTGCAGGTGGCTGTTCTGCCAAGAGCCCTTGCAAAGCAGAGCTGTCGAGCTGAACCGCAGGGGCCGGTCTCAAGTACAAGCCCCAGGCCAGACAGTTTAGAACTCCCGACACGAAACCTGCGCTGCAATTGGGAATGACCTACAGTGTCTACCATCCCCAGTCCGAAACACTTCAAGCCTCAAGCAGTAAACCCAAGAGCAAGTAATCCCAAACGCAGGAAAGCCAAGGTGCAGGTCCAAAGAGACCCCGCCGCCCACAGGGATGCTACCACCCTGCTGGTTCGACTTCGTGGCTTCAAGGCTCCGGGCGTCAGGGTTGCCAGTGCCAAAGCCACACTGCAAAAGAAACCCGCGTCGACGACTCTAAAACTTACGAGGCCAACATCACTTCGTGTAGTGAAATCTGAATCTACATGCACAAGCAACCCGGCAATGGTGGAGGTGCGAGTGGTGATTGATGCGATTGAGGACTATTGCTCCGGAACCGCCGGGAATCGAAACACGCCTGTCCAAGACAGCCTTGTGCTTCTGACCTCGACCCAGACCGAGCCCAGCCTCGAGACCTGTCCTCGCCCCACAGGGCGTTACCGGGACTCGGTGGCTGTTGCCTTCCACACGCGACATCTCCCGAGCATCCAAAGTTTCTGGTGCATGCTGTTTACGAAGATACTGCAACCGTAACTACTCCAGTGATGTGGACATGGCACGGCGACTGCCACAACTGCCACTACCAACGATAATGACGGCAATGTTGTTCTGTCCATAAAATCGCATGCTACGCATTGCTGATTACTTTACGAAGCCGAATACCACCACTGGCTTCCTCGCCAACAGGTCACATACCAATACAGATATGTTATGGTGGGTATATCTACCTCGAATATCTACATATACCTATCTATCTATCTATCTATCTATCTATCTATCTATATATATATATATACATATACATATCTATATATATATATAGATACTTATATATGTGTGTGCATAAAATCGTATTACCACCGTTCTTGTCCTTGCAGCTGCGATACTTCCCGACCATCACCCCACACTCTCAAGCGGATTGGAGGTGCCAACGCTCAGGATCCACGAATCAGGGCTCTCAGGCCAAATTCAAACTATCAGGGGAAGCCCAGGTGCAGATGCGCATGATACCGCTGATCATCTCCGTCGACCTGGCATAGATCACCTGACTTTGCCGCTGTGGGGCTTGACCCCAGCTGCCTTTAAGAGTCATGATCACATCTTAAGGTGTGGGCTTGGAGCACGAGACGCGGAGTTCGAGGGTCTGATGAGTCTGATGTCTTCTAGGGTTGGGACTGCGGTAGAAAGGTAGCGACTCGAAGATACCTTCTGCCCGTGAATGGATTCGTGGTGAGTCGAAGTTCAGGAAATCGAAGTTGGAATCCTCCGGGGCCTCAAAGAGGCAGCTGTGGGAAACTCCATGTGCTTGGGGTCGTCGGACAAATCCCTCAGACCCCCGGTGGCTCCGCCCGAAACCTGAGATCAGCCCTCCACAGCAATTGAAGCGACCGACGCCGAGAATACAGCTGCCAAGGCCGAATGCTGAAGTGAAATCTTGAGGTTCGGGTTCACCACATGCAGGAACCCAAGCTTGAAACACAGCGCAACCATGGCTAGATAGAATCCAGCTCCATTGGGCCCCCGACCATCTCTGGTGGGGACGGAAGATGATGAGAGTGGTCCTTGCCAGAACCCCCGGCCCCGCTACTTGTTACTTGTCATTCCCAAGACCCAATGCTCCATGTACATCCGGAGCTATCATCCGAAGCCCCATATCTTGGAGGCTGCATGAGAAACCGAGCGCACGGATGAGATACACTGTCAGAGGCTAGAGACAAAAAAGACCGTCCTGCGAATGCTTTTCCAACTCTGCACCTGCAGTAAACACATTCTCCTCGCCGGCACAGGCAACCTCAAAGTCTCGACACGCTGGTCGTGGGTCAGGGACGGAGCTCTAAAGTCACTAGCCTTAGGACGTTGGGAATGGGTAGCCATGGACTGCACATACCGACGTGCCGATCAGCAAGCAAATAAAAGCCAGTCTCAGAAAGACGTCATGCATTTAGCGTGACAAGCCAGCGAACTCCAAGCCCTTCGGAACCCGAACTGAGGCGAGAAGCGAGGAGAGCGACAATCTTTGGCGTCAGGAACCTGCGCCCCTCCAGGGACTGCCGAACTGCAGACTCCTGGCTCAACGACGTGAAGAATGAGCTCTGAGACGCGACATGGCGACGCCTTGCGTGAGAGAGTATGCCTCATCCATATCCTCTAAGCATCGACCATGCTAGGTGCAGATTGCCCTCGCTCGCTCCTCCGTGAAGCCTGCTTGGATCTGCCGCGCGAGGACGTCGATTCTCTGACGCTCCATCGTACAGAAATTGATGCTGTGAGCTTGTGGGGCTGAGATCGAGGCGGGATGCTGTGCGTATGTTGCGAAGCCGTTACTATTGGAGGCACTGAGTGGGTACGTTCCAGAGGGACGATGTTGAGCTTAGAGTCATGCGGTGTTCAAGGGGGAGGCTGTGGTGTCGGTGGCTATTGACTACTGCTGTGCGAGAGGCTGCAGACGACGGAACATGCCACAGATAAGCAGGCTTCACGTAGCCCAGACTACTGAACTCAAACTTGCGACAAAGAACCTGTAAACCCTGCAGGCCGCACCCTGAACCAGAAACAGCCAGGAAGTTCTGTGCCTTATTGAATTCGAGGCATCAGCAGCGCCTTGGATTTAGCGATTAAGGCTGATGTAAACAGTGACCACACGAATTAGAAACAAGAAACCTTATCCCTAAACTCCTAAACCCTAAACCACAAACTTCCACAGGCCACAGGCCGCGCACCCCAAACGCGAACCGAAAGAAGCGCGAGCCCCATGAACTGGGCTCTGGCCACACGGTCTTCAAACTCGACGATTGGCACCTTCAGGGGTCACCCTACATCCGCGACAGATTCGGTGCAGGGCGACAACGATTCCTCTCCGGGGCCTTGCCTTGGGCGCTGCCGATTCTGAATACCTTCTAATTCTGGGGATCAGCTAGGCCCTTTCGCCAGGTGTGTCTTTTGCAATTCAGGGTTCGGGAGTTCAGCGCGACCTGTCAGTGCTGTTACCGTAGGGTAGGTGCTAGCTTTTTCCACGGGGCGAACATGTGCCCTCACCATTAAAACTAGTCGAGAACGTTTATCGCCCCACAAACGATACCTCGAAGGTGGCTCCCACACCACACCCTAGGGAACTCAGGTGCCTCCACCTGGGTCTGCATCACCTTCTTTACAGGCCTCATCCCCCGGGCAGCAGGGAAGATGAGGGAGAGTTCTTAGGCGCTCGAAAATAATGCTGCGGGGATCAGAACTTCTATGAAAATCGTCGGGTGTGGAAAGCTTCAGTGGTCCATGCGACCAATACACATACACACAATCAAATCCTCCACTCCGAGGTTGCGGCACAGCCTCCTGGACAATCTTTGGCACCTGGCACATGAATTCCCCTCAAGACTGAACCAAAGCAAAATCCGAACCATGCTTGCTGCTGAACAGCCAACACGGTTGTGGTCCCGCCACAGTGCGGCATGTGGAAGAGCAGAAAACCGTGCTTGCGCCATAACGTGGGCGCATGGGTGTGCGCTGGCATCCGAATGCACTACTAGCAAGTCTACGGCCACCAGCCCTACTCTTCCTAAGCAGCCATCCGTTTCTTACGAATACGACTGAGATTCAAGTGAGCTTCGGTGCGGATCTTTACACGGGATCTTACGAGGCCAAACCCACTGGAAAAAAAACTAGTTCATAAACTACAACTCGCAGGATGCGCAGTCTAGACTCTACACCCTGCATCTCCCTCATCTGCTGACCGAAAAACCGCCTGGACGATCTTCTCCTGGAGGATGGGCTTCCTGATGCGGTGCAGCTCGGGGTTCAGGGATGCAGATGGATGCAGAGCTCAACATCTGGCAGCTGACTGCAGAATGGACCCGACACAGACACAAACGTCTGCGACCTCCGCTTCACCAGCTTTTGGATGGTCTTGGGCCGCTCGGTCTCCACCACCTGAGGAGCTTCTTCCGCGACCCGCAAGTGATGGAACACGGACCGTCTGTCTGCGGTACTTGCATCGATGAATATGCTTAGGCTGGCTCACTGCTAGGTCATTTTGTGTTCCGACATGCCGCAACGCTCTCAGTGCCTGAACATGGTGCTGCCGGACCCGGTCAACCCAATTCCGCTGGATCATGGGCACCTCAAAGTGCTTGCAAATTGAAGCGATGACAGCTTGAGAACACTTGGAGAGGGGCTTTGGCGTTGACTAGGGGCTTTGCACTGTCACATATTACGAAGGCTTTGGCCATTCACGAGTTACTACTAAATGTCTCTACTACCACTCGGGAGGAGCATGTATAGTCGCGCAACGAATTTTACCAAAGAAAAGTCTCGTGGGAATCTTGGGGACACGATGAAAGTCTGCTCGGGATCCCAGCCTCACATCTATTGGAGCTATCCGTTCGTGCCGTATTTGAGGTCTCAGGAGTGCAAAGCCGGAAAGCGTGCTGACGGAACCTGCACCCCTGCTTTGATTGACAGCCGAATTGCATGGATGATCTTCTCTTCGATTTGGACCTGCCCATCGATTGCACGTCGATTGTTCCAACTGCCAACAGCGCTACCTTACGCTCGAACGCTTCCCATCAGTCTGTGTTGCCCACACCGCACCGGCTGAGCATTGTGCTCAGACAGAAATCTGAACCTTGAGCTAAGGGTTTAGTATGTGTAGGCCAGCAAGGAATGCCGGGAATAGCTTTGCAGATCGACACCGAACATCTGTCTGTCACGAGCAGCACATCCGGAACTGATGCTCTCGACCGGGAAGGTTCGATGAAATGGAGTGTGCTTTCGATGTTATCTTTCGATGGCGTGAAGTGGTTTTGGATGTCGGGGACTCTTTTTCGATGTCTGCGCATGCAGCCCCCTCACCGACAAGCAAATTAAGGCCAAGAAGGCAGCACAACAGCAGTGCGACGACGAACACAGATGTGAAGTGTGCTCTGCAACCGAGCGCTCATCCCTTCGAGTTCGGATCGCCGACCTTCGGCACCTCGACGATTGTCTCGACAATGTGTGGCCGATTCACCTAGGCTTTTTTCAGGTATCGGGTATGAAGGCTGTCAGTGTTTGCTTAGGCCTTACAGCTTCATCCACATGTCACTCGCACGCGCACACACACAAACCCTGGAGTAGAGTGCGGCTGGAGGCAGAGGGTGCAAGGCTGGCTCAACCACGTGGGGCTGGTGCTGAAGTGTGGGAATAACTTCTTTTAATCAAAATCGACAAGCTCAAAGTCATATTGCTAACAGTACTTGCGACAAGGACCTTTTTCCTGCAGTGCATACCATGTCTCCCGAGCATCCCTCCGGCGAGCTCGGGTGGGGAAGCATCGTATAAGTTGTTAATTATTGTACTATACTATACCTGCAAAGTGATCATAAACAGCTTCAAGGTTGAAGCAGGCAGTATCTTGCTTGCGGCCGACTCTTGGGTCCTTCCTTTGTTGCCCTAAGTTGCAGCATTTGACGGCAAGGGCCCAGATGAAGCCCCAACTTGCACATGGGCTAGACGTGTCCGACACCGAGTTGTCGCTGTGTTTGCCGAGCCGGTTGGCCCTTAACCTCCGTCAACAGCCGGGTTGCCGGGATGACCTGCTCCACGAGCACGGGCACCACCTCTTCCTCCCACTTTGCTGGCTGGCTTGGGTCTAGGAGCTGCAAACATCAAAGCACTTTATGGTTGTCCTTGCTTCGCCGCGCTCCAAGCTCCCAACCGCAACTCTCGCCGCCTTAAGCCCTTCCGACGATGCCCTGCGCGCTAAATATCCTGAATTACAAGATCGCAACACAAACCCAAAGCCATATATGATCATATATGAGTCCACCCAATACGAGGCCAGCAACACCGAAACACCAAAGCTGAACCGTGAATCCAGATGTTCTCCAAAACGCAAGAGGATCTGTCCTGCTCCACAACGAGGGGCACCTGGACTTCCTGTTCAAACGAAACAAAGCCTGTCTAGCAGCGCTTTAATACAGGTTGCTCATCTCCATGCCTGCACGACACTCGAACCAGCAACATGTGATTTTTGCAATGACGACTGGCGTCACAAACTAAATCGTGGGTCGACGGATGCAACATCTTGTGTTGGGATCGACAGTTCTTCGAGGTGGCACTTTCCGTAAGTCTACAATCCGCACGAAAAGCCCCCCAGGCCCTAAACTTCAAGCCCACCTCTTCGATGATCTGCGGCACCGGTACGTCGATGAGGCGCTGGATGGGCCGGTGGATGATCCGCTCCTGGCAGACTTCGGGTCAGATACACCGCTGCTTGGGTCTCCAGCTCCCAGCTTCTTTGATAGGGCTGCTTCGCGCGAAAGCCAAATTCAGACTCCAAAAATAACTTCTGACGTACATACATGCATGCATGCATACATACATATGTCAGCATGCGCCACAGATCGAACTTGGAGGTGTCAGACTTCGAGGGGTACGGCTTCAGGGCTTTCAGTCCAGATAGCCTTGACATCTTTCGTGACTGCATAAAGGGGGAAAGCGTCTACTTGCGAGTTAGGATGTAGTGTCCCGCTAGGGTATCAAGTCCGGCTTATGAATCGAACCAAGGGGCCTTTTCGCGTAAATTAACTGGACTATGTAAGGGACTACGACTGTAATCCGCCGAGGCTTCGGCACCGAAACTACTCAGGCCCCGATGGCATTCTAGTTGAGAGCTTGAGTTCTTGCTTCTCGGGCTTTGCTCCGGTGTGCTGTGATGTCGGCTTCAGGAGTTCAAAGCTAGCTCGGCTTCAGGGCTTGGCATCCGACTAATTTCAAGACTCTTGGACTTGGGATCTCGGCTTTGAGGCTTTTTGAGGTTTTGGATTTGCGGGTACCTTCAGCCGTTGCCCAACAGCTCCTGCTGCAGCATCACTGGGAAGGGCACCACCTCTTCGCTGATGCGAGGCACTGGCACATCCACTTCCTCGCAGCGGAGACTTGCATGTGTTTGAGATTAGACCCCGAAATCAAAAGATATATCAGGGTGGCGCTGTGTGGGATGACTCCAGGATGTGGGCTTAGCAATTGGAGGTTGAAATAAGCTTTAGGTCGCTTCTCTTGATTCCAAATGTCAGGCATGACACGTGCCAGGCTACTGCAAAGCGCTTAAGTAAGTGAAGGAGAGCGCTCTCCACTGCACCGGCGCTCTTCATGGAACCCAAATGCCAACTCGTGCATTCGTCAGTAGGAGGCCGTCCCCTTTGCTCCTGCTCCACCATGACTTCCTTCCGGCGTGTTTTCGTGATGACCTGCAGCATGTCGGCTTCAGGCTTGCTCGAACTGAAGAAAGATTCTCCTCAACTGCGTAACGAAGCTGTTTCGGTTTAGATAAAGCCGTTTGCGCACAGCTGCCGTCCCTGGGCAAGTATATACATCTTTGCTGAATCTGGCGAGGGCCGACGGGTTCTGTCAAGCTTTGTTTTGCTGATGATGCAGACTTTTCCGACAACAGACCGCCAACGCCAATAATCAAAGCGAAACCCTAAACCCTAAAAATCCACAGCCCAAAACCCGGCAAGCCCAAGCTTCAAACCTGGAGCCCCCAGCACAAGCACCAGAAAGCGAAGACGAAGGCTAAAAGTCCCAGAAAGCAGCCCAGCCTTCGGAACCATCACGGTTTCCTCCTCCACCACATTCACGGGCACCTCCGAGAGTTTTCGAGATCGCCGAGGAGCCTTAGAGGGCCTTTGGAGGCCTAGCTCGAATTTAGTCTGCGCGTCTGAAGCTCAGTGCCAAACCTGTTGGAACTTCTGCATATGCTGCCTCACTTAGACCGAACACTGGCTAGTTCAGCCAATGGCTGTTTCGATAAGGCGGAGATCTTTGTGCCCTGGCCAAGAGCAACTTCGGTGGGTCCAGGTCTGGAGTCTGTACCCATTTAGGAAGCAACTGCATTTAACTTTGAAAGCTCAGGGCCTCAAGGACTTTCTCGGGCTTTGGCGCGGGGGCATGGGGCGGAAAACGGGTTCGATGGCCAGTGTTCGTTTGGCCACGGAAACTACACCAGCCCTGCACGGGTGCCGCATGCTGATGGGCAGCAGGGAACTCCAGTTTTGCAGTGCGTATCGAGTAGAGACGGTGTGCGGTGCCTCCTGAGGGATCGGCTTCGGCTTGTGGACCGTCCTGCAGGAAGCAGCCAGATGACACTGGAGCCAGTCCTCCGTATTGTGCTGCCACTGCTACTGCGGCATTACCAATGGCCGTAGCGATGGCAGTGGCAATGAATGGCAGTGGCAGTAGCTGCAAAGCGATGAGGGGCAGGATGGTGGTGATCATTCTTGTTATCACTGCTTTAATGAATACTGAAAACTGCAGGATGGTAGGTGCAATAAGCAGTACAATCGTCATCCAGCAAGTGAACACATAAGTTAAGCCGAAAGCAACTAAAGCGAAAAACAATCACATAGGGCACTTGACTCACGGGGTGAACCTGCGTTCTTGTGTCGAACACTGCAACAAAAAGTCAGTCCCGCCCAAAAACCCGATGGCATTCCACAAACATGGACTCCTGAGCACTTAGCCCTCGAACCGTAGACTTCCAACGCGGGCAAGTCCATGTCCTCTCTTTCACGATCTGCTTTGGCACATGCACAACCTTCCATCAAAGCAATCGAGGTCTCCGTTACAGGACGCCAAGTTGAGACTCACTCAGCATCTGCGAGTGCTGGGCAAGCCGCCCCCCACCAATGTCTAGTAGCCAACCGATAACCATGATATTGGGCGTTGCACGCGGCGGCGGCGGCGGCGGTGGTGGTGGTGGTGGTGGTGATGGTGGTGGCGGTGACGGTGGCGGTGACGGTGGCGGCGGTGGTGGTGAATGTCATGGTCCACCACCACCACCACCACCACCACCACCACCACAAAAGCGCCCCACCACCCCCCATCATAATCAGAATAAAGCTACAAATAAGAATGCTGCTGCTACTGCTACTACTATAATAATAATAATGATGCAATACATAAAATGATCATGGTAACCCTCTCCCGGGCTGAGGCAGCGGACACCGCGTTGCAGAGGGGGAAATCCAGACATCGACCCTAGATCTGTTGAAGTGCACATGCCGAGAAAAATTCGGCAAAGGCTTGGGGATTGATGTCAACACGGCAATCCTAAGCCCTGAGCTCCAAATTTTTTAAAGGCCTGAAACAACCGGAACCCCGAGCTAGCCCTAAACTCGACACTCCGACGAAAAGCATCAAAACCCGATGCTTCTCAAACCCAAACCCCGCAAGGTCTGGGAAACTCCCAATCCAAGGCCTCCTCTTTGACCTGCATCACCGGAACGTCCACCAACCTCGGCGGAACAATATCTGAGCAGTGTCGCGGCCCTTGAGGCTCCGGAGAAGGTGGGTTTAGGGCCATGGTTACTATAAGGGTTCCTTGAGGGTTCTGGGGCTTGAGCAGATACTGCACAGCACTGCTGTCACCACCACGTTTAGCAGAGCCCCGGGTCATTGCAATCGACATGTGGAAAGCTGACGCTGTTGAGCAAGAGATTTGAGCTCTGCGGGTACCGGGATTCCTTAATTCCGGGCAATCATGCTGACAAAAGCTGGGCCGTCCAAAACGAGACCCCAGACTCGAACACGCATTAAAGCCTCAACAGCGGAGGCCTGGGAATGCCTTGGGAACACGCCTCCTCAAACACTGTTTCAAGATTCGAGACAAACCCAGGGCGAAAATCCTGCCGGGCCACTTCTCCACTCCAACATGACGCTGACGTTCGGCATAGAAGAGCTTGGGCACGACCACGATCTGCAGGCTTTTTTGACGCTGAGTCTTTGGGGGTCGAAGTGGTCGAAGGCATGGAAAGTTAGCCGTGCCTGGAACAACATCACCGCACTGGAACGGCAGCAAAGTGGATGCCGAGGCGGTGAGGGTTGAAGTGGGTTGCGGAGCTGGGGTGCGAGGCCTTCCCGATACGATGCTCAGCGTGCAGCGCAAGTAAGGATACGGCCGCGATGCGCAGTCGGGCTTGGGATCTATCGCGGAGCGCATTCTTATGATGACCTTTGGGGTGAAGTGTTGGTTTGGATCTTTGGAACTCGACCGCTTGGTGGCAGAGCCCCGTGTCTCTAACACAGATTTACCTGACTGCTGCAAGCATTGCCACATCGGTAACTACCAACATGGTGCTTTTGGGCAACCCCTTATAAATTTACTCTTAATACGGCGCCCAACAGTTTGGGAGCCTAGTTTGGGACCCCAAAAGGGAACCACCAACATTTGCGATGAGTGCACAACACCGTGGTCCGAAATACGGTCAACCAAACCTAAGTATCACCCTGCTGGAAGCGACACAGCTAGGGCTAAATAGCCACCTTGTGATCATGTGCCTCTGAACGATCTATCACAGCCCGGCACGTAATACACAAAACATCACGCCGATAAAGCAAAAGATGACGGTCGCAGCCAAGATCTGCATCATAACTCTGAACCTTTCAGGATATCAAGTGTCTGCACGCCTCCTCCTGGACCGTAGGGACCACAATCTCTAGCCTCTGCTCCACGTTGCGCGTAACGACGCGTTCCTTCCGCATCGAATTCGGAGCTAAACCAGCTTGTTGCTTGAGGTCTTCAGTGTCACATCGCTTCCCAGTAGTCCTGCATCACTGGCTTCTTGACCTGCAAGCGACAGAACTCTTGGCAAAAAGTTGAGATCATGAGCAGCAACACCTGTGTTCGAGCTACTTACCTGAAGCCCACCAAACATCCACAACTTGTAACACCGAGTAAGCCCCCTGCTGCGTGAGGCTCACGGATCTGGGGCTGACCCTAGACGCATGTAGTGTCCAGAATCTCTGCCCGCACCGCTCGCCTCCACGATCTGGTCGAAGTGCTCCGGGACTGGGATATCGACGAACTCGACCACCTCGCATGCCGCAGAAGAAAATCGAAAAAGATCCTCACGAAAACATGAAAACCTCTGCACATGAGAACCAGCCAGGCAACGGATTAAACCTGCCCCGGCTTTGACGTCAGCTCAATCACGCAAACGGCGACCGCAGCAAGGGGGAGGACGAGGAGAAGCAAGATGCTAATGTTCTTGATCTTATTGTGCCGAAGATGACTCAGATATTCATGTTTCGGATAAGGAGGAGGAAGAGGAGACTGAGCAGGTGAAGGGCCAGAACGAGGAGGAGGAGGATCTTGACGAGCCATAACCGGTTTCAGGCATGCTAAGCTAGTTCTTCGCCAGCCCATCTTCAGCAATGTAACATCATCCTCGTCCGCTTGCCGTCGCACCAGCAATACCATCGCCCTCGTCGCTAGTGGTGCCAAACTGCCAGTGCTACCCGGCCGTTAGCCGCGTGATTGGTGATATGGTTGCTGCT